AATTTGGAAGTCAGTGTTTTTTGACTGGCAATAGTCAGAAAAGTACTTCTACAGAGAGAAGAAGAGAAACCCCATTGTCTTAAATATAGTAAAATTGCTCTGAGGAAGAATTTAGATTCTCAGTCAGGAAAGCTACAGAACAACCTTATACAAACAAAGGATACTGGAGAAGGATTTGGCAGAAGGTCTGGGTAGTTAGAGAGAACTCCCAGACAAGTTAAATAGTAAAAGAAGTTATTGCTTCTTAGGGACAAGGAGAATAACTTCCTGACAGTGAAAAGGGTTGGGAAGAGAACCCTGGTCTGTGGTAAAAGGGGAGAAGCTTAGACAACTCAGGACAGGAGTTAGTGAAAAGCTGTAATATCTAAAGGGAAAACCTGGAACTTTGAAGGAAGACATCTAGAAACTTTAAGCAAACACTGTCCTCCAGATGAAGCATTAATAAGAACTGTGTTAGTGCTGAAATATACTAAACAAAGAATCTCTCAAAGAAAGAACTAGAAAACCTTGAAACAAAACTACAAATACACTTTCTTGAATTATCTAAGAATTTAACTCTGTATGTATTAGAAAGTTTTTTTAACCTCAGAAATCTCAAAACCTTGACTATTTATTTATATTCTGTGCCTGTTCGATAAAATATTATTTTTATGAAACAGATTATTGATACTCTAAAGCCTGGGAAAGCCCCAGGTCTAGATCTAATTCCTCCAGAATTGTTCAAAAGGAATGCAGACTGGTGGGTGCCGGTCCTGGCATCCCTATTCATGCACACTGACCAAACAGGGGAAATCCCTAAGGACTGTGGAGTAGCTATTATCATCCCACTATACAAAAAGGGCAACAAAGAAGACCCCCAATAACTATAGACCAATCAGTTTGTTAAGCATAGTGAGTAAATTCTATGCAAGACCCTTTTGTGGAAATTAGGGATTGGCTGGAAAATTATTTTTGTTTACCAGGAAAACAGGCTGGCTTTAGCGAGGTTCGTGCCTCCTTAGATCACTCTATGTTATTAGATCACTTGATTGTTAAGTACTCCTCCACCTCAAGTGTGTCATTATTTATGGCCTTTCTGGACTAGAAATTGGCCTTTGACTCAGCTTCCAGAGTCATCCTATGGGATAAATTAAGAGTGTCAAGCATTGACAGACCCTTTATAACCACACATCTATATGGTCATCTGACAGACCCCTTAGATCTGATAATGGGGTTAAACAAGGATACCTTTTGACACCCCTTCTCTCTAACTTCTGTATCAACGACTTGGTATCTCACATAAATAAGCCTGAGTTTCACCCTCCTCAGCCAGGCAATAAAGATACAGGGGTGCTCCTTTACACAGATGCTGTTGCTTTACTTTCAAGGACACCTACTGGCCTCAGGAGAGACGTGTGCTCCTTTGTCCAATATTACCAGGTTAACAACTTAGAGGTTAATTATTCTAAAACCAAAGTGATGGCCTTTGCAAAAAGATCTCCTAAAACCTATCACTGGTACTTAAACTCTATTCCTATTGAAGAAGTTTCCTGTTTTAAGTACTTGGGTGTTCTGTTTCAGGTGAATGGCTCAAGAGCTGTTAATATAAACTCTGTTGCCTCAAATGCCAATAGGTGTGTGGGGGCAATTCAAAAATGTTATTGGCATAAAGGGTACAAATGCTTGACAGCTGCCCTTAGATTATTCAAGGCCAAGTCTCTCAGCCAACGTACTTTTGGAGCCCCTATTAACATTACCACAAATTATAAGAAGCTGGATATTGTCCAATCAATATTTTTGAGAACACTCCTACAGGTACCCCATGGCATTCCAAATGCCCTCATCCTAATTGAAACTGGAATTGTTATGGTAGAGGTGAGGCTGTGGATCACGGTGATCCAATACTGGTTGAAACTAATCTTCTTACCTAAAGGGCTGATAAGTTCAATTTTTCAAGATACCTTTGTTCCACCATGGTTTAGGGCTATAGAGGAGAAACTTCCCTACTATGGATTTACAAAATAATATTTGTGCTCTCTGGCCTATGATAAAGCCAGAGACATGGTAAAACAGAGGATATTGGATATCACCAGGCAAAATGCTCTAAGTAGCACAGAGGAATGGTGTGCCCTTTTAGAGCCTATTAAGAGAGTAACGCCTATGTCCTATCTCTATCATCTATCAAATCGTGAATATAGGAGAATGTTTACTCTAATGTGATGGGACGCACTTCCCTCAGTGGTCACTAAAGGAAAGTATACGCTGTTAGACAGGTTGCATCCAGACCTTAATGATTTGAAACCACAACAGCAGACCGAAAGTCCGAAGGTCCGGACATACGAAAAAGGTGAGCAAGTGTATGCTCGTAACTATGCCAGTGGTCATTCGTGGCTACCAGCCACTATTGTTGACGTGTTTGGGTCGCGTATGTATGTGGTACGGCTTGCTGATGGTCGCAAGTGGCGTAGGCACATAGACCAGTTGAGGCAGCGGTGGGCAACTGACCGTCCCAACGCGCTGCCAACTGAGTCCCCAGACCCCGAGGACTTCCCACGACCTCTAGAGGAGGCGAGTACTGCAGAGCCTGAGGGCCACAGTACTGGGCAAGAGGCAGGGCAGACCCCTACTCTTGGACCCACTGGAACGGACGGGAATGTTCCTGACTCTGCGGTCCCAGAGTCAAACGGAGTGCCACTGACAGAAAAGTACCCTGAGCCTAGTCCACCGAGAAGGTCTCAGAGAAATCGCCGTGCACCTACCTACCTAAGTGATTATGATTGTTCATGACTGTATTTGCTTAGGGGGGAGGGATTTGTAATGTATTCAGATGCTGCCCTGAATGCATGAGGATGAAGTGTGAATCATCCCATAGAGAAGCTATGCTAAGCTTCAGACGTCGGCTAGGATTCGCGCCAAAAGTATTGTGTCCAATCACATTTGAACTGTCTGTGGTGGGAACACTTGTGATTGGGCAATTATGCGAACAACCTGATAGGTTGACAATTGTATAGTAGGCAGTGTTCCCTCTAAGCTGAGTTAGTGTGAGCTAGCTCACAGTTTTTTAGCCTCCGGCTCACACATTTTTGTCTTAGCTCAGGAAGGAGGGCTCCACAGCAAACTAATTTATGCAGTAGCCAAATCGCTCACTCACAACTTTAAGGCCAGTAGCTCACAAAGTAGAATTTTTGCTCACAAGTCTCCACAGCTTAGAGGGAACATTGATAGTAGGTGTGGCTACATTAGCCCGGAATGTTTAAATACTGAGCAGCTGCAATGGAAAAGCTGTTCGGGCTATCAGATGTTGTACCGTGTCAGAGAAGTTGATCGTCGAGCTGAAATAAACCTGAGTTTTGCTGAAATCACTCTCTGGCTATTTTGTTGAGCATGGACTTAACAGGATGGTGTCCCTGGAGTTGGTGGCTGTTGAGGAGGGTCAGATGGGAAGGCCATGGGGAGTCAGACTAGGCTTTTCGCCTGCCAGCTATGCATCCCTACTTTATTCTTCAGATATACATAGAAAACAAATATAAACAAAGGAGCCTTGGGTCTCAAGTTAGTCGGTTTCAGGCAGGGGATGAATGTGTTTGAATCACGCCTGCATAGTGTAACAAGGATCCACCCGACAGATTAAGCCGCAGCACGCTAAATTCTCTTGCTTCCTCCCCCGTAACAGCTTCACTGTTTTAATTGCTATCATCCCAGTATGTTAACATTATTTAATTGCTATATTATTAAATGCTACAAGATGTACTAGGGGAATTTTTTAATCAGCATATTTTATAGACTTGGGAAAAATAAAATCTGTAAAAATAAATAAAGAAAAGAACCTTTGCAGTTTGGAAGGCAGCTATTTGCAAAACAAGACAGCTGGAATACTGTAGCAATAAAGAAGAGTGCAGGATGTAATTTTTAAACCAGCCATTATTGAATTAGCAGACCCCTGAACAAGAAGGCAATAGGGAACAATGCTTAGGGCCAAACCTGCAAATACACTGAACCGTGTAGCCAAAAAAGCTATTTTGTACTGCAGAAATGGACATGTCAGTAGATGCTAGTGAAGCCTAAAGCACTGACTGGCTAAGCTGCTCTGATGTCAGAGAGGTCTCCACTGGGTGCATAGAAAGCCTGGGTCTGTCCTTTGCTGAGCTGGCCGGCGCTTAGAGAAAGCGGACAATAGGCCAATGAAAGGTGAGGGGTAGAATAAACTGGGACCTAGAAAGACAGGAGGCAGGGAATTGAGAAGGCACTCAGGCAGGTAGGAAACAGGAGCTTACAAAAAGGAAGGCTGGAGAAAGGAGTGGTTCAAAGTAGCGGAGAGGGAGAAGGGAAACCCACTGAAAGGGGGAGTAAGAACGAGCAGACAAGAGAGCCACAGAGGTAAGGAACCCTTACAGGCCTCGAGTTCAGAAGCCTCTAGCCTTGTTGAGCCTGTGGCACTTTTAGAATTCTGAGAACTGGCACTGGGCAGCACAACAATAATGGCTACGTGGGGAGGCAACAAATCATAGAATTACTGCCATTGAGGACTATTCTTGATCACGAAATGTTGGCCATCGCCACACAGTGTTAGGAGGCCCCAAGCCAAGAGTTCTCCTTTGATGGAGGCAACTGTCACAAAGATGATGCCTCCTTAGCTCTTCTGAAGAGGGGGGGAAGTCAGGACTGGCTCTTTGCTTTGGAGGAAGAGGAAATGGGTGTCACGAGACACATGGGAAAACACTGTGGTGCCCACGGGCATCACGTCGGGGAAACCCTGCTCTAGTTTTAGCAAGAAGGCACATGAAAGGTGATTGGGGTGGGGGGAATACAGGCAGCACAGACAAATCAGCAGACCAGGGTCCCCTCCTTTGGGTTAACTAGGGCACTGGATGAAATCCCGTTTGCCCTGGAGCTGAATCTTCAGCATGCTCAGCACGATCGGTCATTAATCCGGCCCTCCTACACAGGTCTCCACGTTCTCAGTAATGCATCGACACCCCCAGCATTTACAGCTGCCCCCACTGGAGTCAAAATCCACTCACTGTTGAAGCTGCCATTGCCGCTAGTCTCTGCTGTTGCCACGCCGCGCTGAAATAGCCCTTCGGATGCGGCACTTCCTGACAGTGAATGGGGGTGAAGACAAGGGTGAAAGGAGGGGAGAGAAACAACAGAGAAGGAAAGCAGGAAGGGAGGACCGGGGATATGTGGAGGAATGAAGCAGGGGACAAGAAGGGAAAGGGTGTGTCTTTAACGGCATCATACGGTTTTTCACGGGCTGCAACATTCCAACAGCTTAATGCATATTTCAGGCTTGTAAGTCGCCCCTGGCCAGCTCGCCTCTGATGAGTCAAAAGCACTTTCAGATGATTTTACAAGTTGGAAGACCTGTCTCTCCCCACCCCCCTTTGGTCACTCTAAGCCACTGGCATGTCCAAATGACTTAGAGTATCACGGGGTAGCCTCCTATGAACCCCCCCCCCCCCATCACAGCGGGACATGTGTAAACTGAAACACCTTGAATAAAACTTTGTTCGCCTTAAAGGTGCCACTGGACTCTAATGTTGTTCTATTACTTTTATCTTGTGTCTCAAATTTGGTAGAAAAGCAGCCCAATATGCAAAACAGTGAAGTTCTATATTTTGTATGAATGATCTGCAAAGGATAAGGGGAGGTTTCCCTTTCTTTTATTTATTGAGCCAAAGTTTCTTTCTGCATGTACCCTACTCTACCTCAATTTCCTATTAAACAGGGAGAGTTTCTAAAATTAATCCCACAACTGGAGTGTAGGACGTTTGCTACAGCTTTCAGTTCCTTCAGTTTATCTCTCCCCCCACCTTCTATGATACGGTTGCAGGCACCGGCATTGATAAAACACCCCAAATAAGCGGTCTTGATGTGATCATATGTAAACTGACCAAGATTCTTCAAGTGTTTTTATTTTAATTGGCATGCGCATGTGCTCCTGAGTGCTGGAAAATACCACATAAAAGCATCTCAATACAACTTCATGTAATCCCATCAGCTTACTCTTTTCCTGCAATGTTTTATCAATACTTATATGTGCACCAATAGTTCAGAGGGTGGAGCAGAAAGACATAAAGCAGAGGTGTCAAACTCATTTGTTACGAGGGCCGGGTCTGACATAAATGTCACTTCGTTGAGCCAGGCCATGTGTGCCATAAAATGTAATGCCAAGTAAAAAGTAAAGGTAAAGGTTCCCTTGCTCGAAAGCCAGTCGAATCCGACTCTAGGGTTGCGGTGCTCATCTCCGTTTCCAAGCCGAAGAGCCAGTGCTGTCCGAAGACATCTCCGTGGTCATGTGGCCGGCATGACTAAACACCAAGGCGCACGGAACACTGTTACCTTCCCACTGAAGTGGCCCCTATTTATCTACTTGCAATTTCTTGGTTTCGAACTGCTAGGTGGGCAGGAGCTGGAACTAGAGACGGGAGCTCACTCCGTCATGTGGCACACTCGGGTCTCAAACTGCGGAACTACTGACCTTCCACAGCCTGCAGTTCAGCGTCTTAACCACTTGAGCCACCGTCGCTCCAATGCAAAGTACCAAAGATATAAATTGCATAAAGGACAGTAGCTGGTAAACTGAGTTGTTGTATCCTCCCTGCAAGGCCCCGGGGGCGGGGGGGGGGGGTGCAAAGGAAAATCCATATGAGTGGACTGAAGAGCCAGCAGTGCAGCACTGGGCAGATGCTCTCACACTGCTTGACTGCTGCAGACAAGGTTGTTCCGTCATGCTGAAGCCACAATTGGAGGGGCTCCCCCCCAAGCATTCCCCTGTTCTCTCCCTTGCACTAGTTGCTCGCGGGCCACATAAGAGCCCTGGACGGGCTGGTTCCGGCCCCTGGGTCTTATGTTTGACACCTCTGACAAAGGAACTGAAAACTCTGCATAGTGATTGGTACAAAATGCAGAAATTAAAAGCAAACAAACCAAAGAGTACAGAAATTCTCAGAAACAAGAATGTCTTATTTGGGAATTCAAAATCCAGAGGGAAATTTGGATGAGAATTTCAGGAGCACACCAAGGCAAAATTAACATTTTTAGTGCTCACTGTTGTGAGCTAGTCACTTTGGGAAAGAATACTGAGGCATATGAGAGTAACTGGATGATCACATTTAGAAATTGTACTTTCAAACCTTCTCCTGTGTTCAAAGTTACACAGTGTCTGAAAATGAAAATTCCACAACCAGTGACTGCACATTATGCATAAACAAACAATCCCCTAGCAAGAAAAGCAATCAAAAATCAGAATGGGTGGGAGCAAATATAATAAAGAATCATGCTAATCTCATCTAATGTGTGGGGATGAAAGACTGATCTTCCCACCTGCCTGTCCCCATATAAGTAACTTCCAGAGATGACAATCCATCGTTGATTCACAACCCACTTTGAGTAAACATGAAGATACTGACCTGTCTATCTAATGATATCATACATTTTTTTGTACAGACAAGGAAAGGGTTGGGGTGGGGGAGAGAAATGCATTTTCCCAGCTGCTGTAGTGTCCTGGCAAAACAGCCCAAAGCTTAAGGTATTGCATGTCGTTGCTAATGACTGCAAAGAATTAAAGGGGGATTCAAAGCAATATGTTTTAGGTTAATAATTGATTATTTGCTTTCGGCATCAAGAATTAAATGAGAGGCTGGCTTTGCTGAAACCTGGTGTCAGACCACCAAGCCTCCAAGGTCTGTCTGTCTCTGTCACCAACCTATTTTTGCAAATGTTCCCTTCTCAGATCTGCAGGCAATTCTGGGTCACCACAAAGAGGTCAACAGCCTTTGGAAGAGAGAAACCACAGGAGACTTCCAAGATGTGAGGAATCTTCTGTGAATTTCTAAAGCTACATGTTTCAGCCAGCACTGCGAGGACATGGGGCACACAAATAGCACTGTGAGTTTGGCAGCCTCAAGTAGCATGAAGATGGGAACTCTTTCTCTCTCACACACACTCAATTATTGAGCCCTTCCACCAGGAGCTCAGGATACCCAAGATCGTTGGATGGGCTGTGGTTCAGTGGTAAAACACCTTCTTTGCATGCAGACAGTCCCAAGTTCAGTCCCCAGCATCTCCAGTTAACAAAGACCAGGCAGCAGGTGATGTGAAAGACCTCTGCCTGAGACATTGGAGAGCTACTGACAGTCTGAGTACACAGGTCTTGACTGTGATGAACCAACAGTTTGATTCATTACAAGGCAGCTTCAGGTGTTCATGGTTCTCCTCTCTTACACCTTTGCCTCTTGTGAGGTAGGTCAAGCTGACACAGAATGACTGGTCTACCTTGAGTCCAAGGAGATCAGGTGGGACAGAAATATCTCTCCTTATATATAATTGAGTAGTGGGGTGGCACTTTCTGAACATTCCACACGCTCCTAAATCAGTTGGCTCCATGATGTGTCACCCAGAAGCTGTCCCTATCCATTGGCTGCATTGCCTGAGTCCCGCCCACAGAAGCGAGACCCAACAAAACTTTCCTCAGAAGACGGTTGCTTAGCTTCGGTGAACACAGCTTCTGCTCCTCTTCCCCACCCAATCCCCCTTCAGCCTTTGTTCCCTGTCAGAATTACTGGCAAATGGCTGTGTCTCCTGACAAAGACACTTATCCTGCTTGGCTCCTTTGTGGGACTAATTTTTCCCTCAGTAGGTATGGCTAGGCAACCAAGCTTGGTTCTGTCAGTAAAAGACAAAGAAAGGAAACCCTTTCCAGGCCTTTGTGAGGAACTCATTGGGGCTCGTCCTGACTAGGGTTGCCAGCTCCAGGTTGGGAAATTTCTGGATATTCTGTGTCTAAGGAAGCTAGGGTTTGGGGAGGGGAAAGGCCTCAGCTGAATAGAAAGTCATAGAGCCCCCCCTCTAAAGCACTTTTTTTCTCGGGGGGGGGGGAGAGATCTCTTGTCTAGAGTTCAGTTGTGATACCAGGTGATACCAGACGACAGAGGTCAGTTCCCCTGGAGAAAATGGCTGCTTTGGAGGGTAGACCCTATGGCATTATACCCTGCTGAGTCCTTCCACCCCACCAACGCTGCCCTCCACAGGATCCGCCCCCGAAATCTCCAGGTATTTCCTACTCAGAGCTGGCAACCCTACTTTCCCCTCAGTGCCTGTTGCTAGGCAACCAAGCTTGGTTCTGTCAGTAAAAAACCCTTTCCACACCTATTTTGGCCTTTGGGAGAAAATTCATTGGGACCAGTCCTAACTAGTGTTGCCAGCTCCAGGTAGGGAAATTCCTGGAGATTTCAGGGTAGATTCTACAGAAGCCAGGGTGTGGGGAGTGGAGAGGAGAGAGCTGAACAGAATGCCGGGGTGGTGGTGGAGATCTGTTTGGAGTTCAGTTGTGATACCCTACGATCTTCAGGCTCCACCGGGGGGTTGGCTACCCTAGGCACAGCAGTCAGCACTACAGAGCAGTGTCTGCTAGACCCAGGTTCTTGATGTTCTGTTCTGCTAGACCCAGATTCTTGCTGACTGGGTGATTTTGGACCAGTCACAGACTTTCAGCCTAACCTACCTCACAGTCAAAAGGGGGAGAGGAGAATGGTATAAGCTGCTTTGGTCCCCATTGCAGAGAAAGACTACTTTTCCTCCTGTGGAACAATTGTTGTCAATCTCCAGGTGAGGGCTGGAGATTACTCAGAATTACAACTGCTCTCATAAGAACATAAGAACATAAGAGATGCCAATGTTGGATCAGGCCAAAGGCCCATCCAGTCCAACACTCTGTATCCCACAGTGGCCAGAAATACCAGTGCCATCAGGAGGTCCACCAGTGGGGCCAGGACATTAGAAGCCCTCCCACTGTTGACCCCCCCCCCCAAGCACCAAGATGACAGAGCATCACTTGCCCCAGAGTCCCTATCTATACCTTGTGGCTAATAGCCACTGATGGACCTCTGCTCCATATGCTTATCTAATTCCCTTTTGAAGCCGTCCATGCTTGTAGCTGCCACCACTTCCTGTGGCAGTGAGTTCCATGTGTTAATCACTCTTTGGGTGAAGAAGTACTTCCTTCTATCCGTTCTAACCCGACCGCTCAGCAATTCCAGATGGCAGAGATCAGTTCCCCTGGAGAAAATGGTGGACTCTGTGTCCTTATACTCTG